AATTCTTACATAAAACTGCTCTTGGCTTTTGCCAGATGTCCACCATGCATTTCGACTTCGCAGGCTTGCACACAACGGCTGTGCCGGTGCTGGGGCCTGTTCTTCCTCAAACAGTGTGACCACTGGGTGCTCCATCTGGCTTCCGGCTTTTTTCCTGTAAATTCTCGCAGAAACTGGCTCTTGTGTGATGTCCATGTGAGAGCGTTTCGACTGTGCAGAATCGCACAAACTCTGCCACGCGAGTTTTGCTTGAAGTTTTGCATGATCTTGGTCTGCGGCATTTTACCTGAAAATTCCCTCATTAAAAACACGTTCTTTTCTGATATGTCGATGTGCATGTCGATTGCGCAGGCACGCACAAAGCGGTTGTCCCGGTCCTGGGGCGCGGCATTTTTCCTGTGAATTCTCACAAATGAGCGGGCTCTTGTGGAGATCCGGCTAAATTCCTGTCTCAGAGGTTCTTGCATGATCCTGTACAGGTCCTTAACAGAAGATCTTGTGGAGATCCTGGTGAGATCCTCTCTAAGAGGTCCTTGCATGAAGATCTTGCAGATGCCATGTCTTAGAGGTGCTTGTATGAAAGCTTTTGTGGGAGGGAGTGGGAGGCACTTGGGGGGTTCTTGTCTCAAGATCTTGTAAGATCCGCTCCAGCAGCACCAGCTCCTTTTATGACGATCCTGTGAGCGTCTCTTATAGGGATCCTGGCATGAAGGTCTTGGTCACGGTCTTTTACAGATCCTTGTGAGAAGCTCTTGGAGGGATCCTAGTGACATGCTGTTTGGTGCCTGTGCATGATCTTGCACCGGTCCTTGTGAGAGGCTCTTGAAGAGGTCCTGGTGAAATCCTCTAGGTGTCCTTACATGCTGTGCGGGGTGCTGTGCAGGGTGCTGTCCAGACTGCGGTGGCGAAGTCTGGCAAAGGTGCTGTGCAGGGTGCTGTGCAGGGTGCTGTGCAGGGTGCTGTCCAGACTGCGGTGGCGAAGTCTGGCAAGGGTGCTGTGCAGGGTGCTGTGCAGGGTGCTGTGCAGGGCTGTCCAGACTGCGGTGGCGAAGTCTAGCAAAGGTGCTGTGCAGGGTGCTGTGCAGGGGGCTGTTGCAGGCTGCTGTGCAGGAGGGTGCTGTGCAGGGTGCTGTCCAGACTGCGGTGGCGAAGTCTGGCAAAGGTGCTGTGCAGGGTGCTGTGCAGGGTGCTGTGCAGAGTGCTGTGCAGGGTGCTGTGCAGAATGCTGTCCAGACTGCGGTGGCGAAGTCTGGCAAAGGTGCTGTGCAGGGTGCTGTGCAGGGTGCTGTGCAGGGTGCTGTGCAGGGTGCTGTGCAGGGTGTTGTCCAGAGTGCGGTGGTGAAGTGTGGCAAAGGTGCTGTGCAGGGTGCTCTGCAGGGTGCTGTCCAGACTGCGGTGGCGAAGTCTGGCAAAGGTGCTGTGCAGGGTGCTGTGCAGGGTGCTGTCTAGACTGCAGTGGCGAAGTCTGGCAAAGGTGCTGTGCAGGGTGCTGTGCAGGGTGTTGTCCAGACTGCGGTGGCGAAGTCTGGCAAAGGTGCTGTGCAGGGTGCTGTGCAGGGTGCTCTGCAGGGTGTTGTCCAGAGTGTCGCAAAGGTGCTGTGCAGGGTGCTGTGAAGGGTGCTGTGAAAGGTGCTGTGCAGCGTGCTGTGCAGGGTGCTGTGCAGCGTGCTGTGCTTTGGTTCCCACGTTGGGAACCATCAGTTCCAACCTTTAGGAACTGGAAGTTCTTTGCAATGGTAAACTATGGTTCCCAGGTTGGGAAGCAGCCGGGCGCAAACATTCCGCTACCGGTCCATTAAGCAAAACAAAAGGTTCTGTTACCTGCTCAGTAAACAAAACAAAGCAACATTAAGAACCATGATTTTTATCTTTTTGCAATCAACAGATCCTTCCACTGGTAAAGTTACTTTTTCAGGCTTGGAACCATGAGTTTCAAGCTTTGGGAACCCGCAGTTCCTTACAATGATAGCCGCTTAGTTTCGAAAACATAAATTCTAACTTCTGGGAACCGGCAATTCCTTGCAATGGTAACCTCTGGTTCCCAGGTTGGGAACCGTAAGTTTCAAGGTCTTGGAACCGGCAGTTCCTTGCCATGGTAACCTTTGGTTCCCACGTTGGGAACCATCAGTTCCAACCTTTAGGAATTGGAAGTTCTTTGCAATGGTAACCTATGGTTCCCAGGTTGGGAAGCATGAGTTGCAACCTCTGGGAACCGGCAGTTGCTTGCAATGGTAACCTCTGGTTCCCAGGTTGGGAACCAGGAGTTCCAACCTCTGGGAACCGGCAGTTCCTTGCAATGGCAACCTGTGGTTCCCACGTTGGCAACCGTGAGTTCCAACCTTTGGGAACCGGCAGTTCCTTGCCATGAACCAAACGCAAACATTCTGGTACCGGTCCATTAAGCAAAACAAAGCGTTCTTTGCCGGTCCATTAAGCAAAACCATAAAGTTGTAAAGAAACTGTTTTCATATCACTTTAACATGCACCTTTTTCGTGCAAAAACTTTTTTTTTGCCGGCCCAGCAGCCAAACGCAAACATTCCGCTACCGGTCCATTAAGCAAAACAAAAGGTTCTGTTACCGGCTCAGTAAACAAAACAAAACAACATTAAGAATTATCTAGATTCAAGAGCCCTGCTCTTGAGGCTACTTCGAGATTGGTACGAACCATGATTTTTCAAGGGGCAGTTTGTTGGGTACATTGGTAGCGATCAATCAGTACAGTGGGGCGACAAGAGTGCAACAAGTACATTTTGAAAAGTGCGATGGTGCAACATCGGTGCCGTTGAGTGCGCTCACATGGCGCAATGATTACATATGACTGGAACAAACGACTGTAAAAAATTCATCAGGACCATGTTAATTACTGATAAAGTGCATCATGACTCCTGACTCTCAGGGTTCCACTTGGCAAATATGTTTTTCCTGTCCGCTCTGTTCAAATTCAGAGTATGGTATAGTGGTGGATGTTGTTTGATGCTTTACATCACTCCACAAAAGAACCACGTTTTGTGGTCGATTCAATTCCGCTCTCGGCTTTTTGAAGTTTTAGTGAACGACCTTTTGGCGTTTCAAAGCCGAGACACGTGATGTCAATTTGTTTTCCTGCTCTTCTTCGGAGCTTGATGTGTAATTGAGTTCCAAAATGGTGGCCAAGAAAATGGCCAGCGGCCAGCATCACAGTGCTGGTAAACCTGAGTGACTGAGCAATCAGCAAAACAAAACGGTAAATAAATATAATGAACCAAATTACCAGAGATCCAGAGCATAGTCCAAATTAGTTGTGAAGAAACTGTGAAACTGAGAAACCGAAACACAGATTTTTGATTTTGATTTGATTGATATGATTTTATCTTCATCGTCATTATGAATTCAAAAACCGATATGATAATGGAACAGTTTGACGTTTGAAGTTTGAACATTTGAACTTTGAACATTTGAATTTGAAAACATAGTTCCTCACAGCAACGCGTTGCCGGAAAGTGAGCTCAGACTGACTTCACTGAAGTGAAGTAGATCATCTTCATGGAACTGCAATCCCTGAAGGTGCAAAGTCTCGCGACCTGAGAGCGGTAGATGTTGGAAACATAGGATCTGAAGACCAGATGAAGACTTTGAAAACTCAAGACTCGAGACTGAAGACATAAACGTTCTGATGCACAGCTAAGTAAATGAATCTGAGTTGAAGTAGTAAGATAGTAAACCAGTGAATTTCTAAATTCTAAATTCTAAATTCTAAAAACAACTCAGTAAACAAAGTAACTAAACAAACAGTTACTTGAAGCAAATGATAAGAGTCCCAACAAAAGCCGGCAACGTTCCAGATCAAAGATCTTCCATGAAGGGAGCAGAGTAGGTACTTCCTAAGTAAGAATAAAAATATAAATGATTGATTCAATTCTCTCCGGTGACAAGTGGTTCCATCGACTCTACTCTCTACTCTACATTGCTAAAGCACTAGCAACCAACTATCAACATCTCCCAACTCGCAACTATCAATAACATTGAAATTCAGAATGGAATCTTGTCCGGAGCTTGTAGGAGTGCGGTTCGCTGACTGATAAATATCACCATAGCGAATGATGTCCTTATTCTTGGCAGCCTGCATCGCCTCCTTTTCCTTCCGCAGGAAGATCACGTTCTGAGATGACAAACAGAGGGTAACTGATCAAAGTGTGAACAATGAACATTCACTACCATCGTACATACATTAAAAAAAAACTGCAACATTTCTTCTGACAAGAATCTTCACGCTCACGAAAGCTAAGTGATTGAAACCAAGAGCTTGATGCCAAGTCTGATGGTACTGGAAGAGGCCATTGCAACCCACCTAAGTCGAGTCTTTTGCATCACATCGAATGTAGCACTGGCCGTATAATTATATTTAGGTGCTATGGTTACAGTTGAATTATTGTTTTTTAATTTAGACTTTAGACTTAGACTTAGACGACCTTATAGTAGACAGAGAGGCTATGATTTGGTATTGGCTTGACTGATCATCAGTTGATGTTGATGCGGTTCCAACTATAGACCATCAAAAAATGAAAATAAAGAACATGGCTTCATCACACCAAAATACGTTTCTCAGCCAGATCCATGTGTAGTCCTTTCCACTTTGCTGACTCCTTTTCCGAAGCCTTACCACTCTCTTCTTTGCTAGCTTTGAAACGCAACCTTCGTTCCAACTCTGCTACTACCATTGGATGTTCATCTGGAAGCAAAACGTCCTCCTTAGCAGATAAAGTAAGTTGAGTTGAGTTGAGCAAAGTTGTCCACAAGAAACACGTGGTGTGAAAAACAAACAACAAGTATATAACTACTATCTAGAGTTAGTAAATTGTAAAAGTAAAAGTAATAAAGTGAAGGAGTCCTAATTGTACATTCTCTACTCTACGGAGAGAGAAAGAGATAGATGGAGAAAGATAGGTGCAGCAAAACTTGTGAAACAGTTCAAAGTTCAAAGTCAAAGCTCAAAAAAATAAAGAACTTCAAGAACACATATCAGGTGTGTAACATGGCAAGTGCTAAGGTCATGTCTGGCGTTTGGGTCTTGAGCTGAAATAACTTCAACCACTCCTCAATCCGGTGGAAAGATTTCTCATCCTGGGTTTCCTTGTTCAGACCGACAAAGAACAAGCGAACACGGCGTTGTGGAACGCCGAAATCGCAACTGCAAAGTTTGAACACTTTGACAAAGTAGCCGGATCCGACCTGTTCCAAAGTTTGAACTATCACGTTGAAATTGCTGGTGCTATCATCGGTTGAAGAATCCATGTCGACGTTCTCCAAAGTGAAGAAGTCAACTACGGCTTGATTGAGATAGTCTCGCACTGCCCGAAACGTTTGATACGAACTTGAATCCTGCACTTACTTACCAGACCTCAACATCGCTACAAACAAAAACCAACATTGACTATACCCCGATAGTAACCGAAGGTAAAAACAAGCAATAACAATGAACCTGAAAAACATTTATATATATATAAATATAAATATGAATCTAAAATAATTAACAACTGACGACCAAAACATCAAGTTGTATCATTGTCAGTTTCCTAGCCGAGAACTATGATCACAAGTGTGTGAATTTGTATTGGTATAATGAATCATTATCAGTAGTCCCCCAATGTCCTGGTTCTGGTCGTTCATCGCGGTCAGCATATCTTTGAACGAATTGTTCAACTTCGACAAGGACTTGCATGAAAAGCCACCGTTGTAAGACCAAAGTTTCAGCGGTAGATCCTCATGTGACTCATGTGTTTGTGTGTGTGTGTGTGTGCTCAGTACTGTGCTTGAGTCATGCACTTTGAATTTAATAGTCACATCTAGAATCTATAAACAAACTAGAATGAGAATAAATATATTTATAGGGATAGAAATAGAATGTAGAATCAAGAATCAGGAGACTACAACATCTTAGTTACAAGTTGTGTCAAAACAGCATTTAGTGAAATATATTAACTTTGCATCACCATGTGTCGCATATCTCACCATGACGAACACATCGCCTGTCATCTGTGTTCATAATCTTGGTGGCGTCGGTAAAAAGGCAACACGTCGTGTCTGTAGCCGTTTGCAAAAGAAAGTTTTGCTTTGACTGTTCGATCTCGCACAAGAACTCATGGATTACCTGTGGTGGCACAAGATGGTGAGTAAGGATTTTTGATTTAACTTGATTTAACAAACTAACGAAAGCAACCGAAAAACAAAAAGACAACATCATATCATAGAATGAATGAATGCTGGAATGAATTATTGCTTGATTTAAGTCGCCACAGCTGACACAAAGCAAAGAAAAAAACATAACCAAAACCCAATCCAATCCAATGTTCTTCGGTTTCGGCCATTTCATTCGGGAATCTGTTCTTGAGAACGCGACAGACAGTGTCAACCACTTTGTCAAATGTTCCTGCTCCTGAAAACATATCTGCCACTCTGAGGATCTTGGGTAGGCATCTGAGTCGGTCGGCTAAACTTTTTTCACCAAGACGAGCAGCAGCAGTTTCGATCATTTTCTACAGGGTCAATTCAAACTCAAACAGAAACAGTTCACGTTCAAACTTCAAAGATCAAAGTCTGTTCAAAGTTGTTGAAACTGCACTTCATTCAAAATGTACACACAAGAAGTTTACAGTTTAAGTTTACAGTTTACCTGTTTACCTGAGTTTAGTTTACCTGGTTAATTACATTGTTTTTAGTTGAGCTAACTTTGTATTTGCCTAAGTCTGAATCTTTGTGGTGTGGTGATGTTGTTCCATTTTGTTCCCCAACTGTCTGCCTCAGCTGCACTTTCCAAAATGCGATTGATATCTGGATGTTTGTCCGAAGGCGGTGCAGGATAGGTGTGTGATGGGGTAAAGATGGTGCCAGCATTCGCTTTCGTTTCCGTCTCATTCTCATCTTCACCAGCACCATTGTTGTCCTTGCCATCATCACGACTCGAAACCCAACACCAAAAGTTTTCTAGGTCAGCCTCTGGGTCGCCGCTTGGATCACCAAATTCAACATATTCATCGCCAAGTTCCTCTTTGACTGGCATGAGCTGGGTCTTCTCAAACTCTGGGAACAGTCGATGTGCCTTTGCCGTTGAAACTTGCATCTCCAATTTGGTGTTCACTAGCCCTTGATCATCACCAAATAGCATCGTAGCGTCTTGTTCTTTGGATTCTCCATGGGGTGTCTCGTCTGGCTGTGGTTCTTTGGATTCTCCATGGGGTGTCTCGTCTGGCTGTGTCTCCAACTCCATCATGTCCATGGCCTCTTCTACCAAAAGTGTGAGCTCGTCCTGATGCGATATTTTTGCAACGCTATCACTACCATAACTTTTTTTTTTGAAATTAGTAATTATAATTAGAACTTGAAACTATCAGCTCACTAAGCTAACAGGCTACTGTCAGTTCAAATTACAGTTAAGTTCAAACTTAAGTTAAAAGTAGGCTATGCAAAGTTTGAAAAAAATACAGCCCAAGCCTTGACATCATCTTTTTTTTCCATCTTGCTACCATCAGCATGTGTCGGGGATGAAGGAGTCATAGGTTTTGATTCTGGCTTCACATCATTCAAATTGTTCACATCGCTAACTTCAGCATGCGCCTGTGGAGATGGAGAGGTCAAAGGTTCTGATCCGGCAGGAGTACTTGTTGTAGTAGGTACAGCCGGAACGGTTCCCCCAGAAGTACTTGTTGTAGTAGATCCAGCCGGAGCGGTTTCCACAGAAGGAGTACTTGTTGCAGTAGATCCAGCCGGAGCGGTTTCCACAGAAGGAGTACTTGTTGCAGTAGATCCAGCCGGAGCGGTTTCCACAGAAGGAGAGCTTTTTGCAGTAGAAGCAGAAGGCTTGGAACTCGAAGAAGAATCGCCAGGCTGATTCTTATTGATCTCCTGGCAAACCAAAATCAAAATATAAAAAAAAAATCAAATCAGTAAAAATGAATAATAGTAACCATTAGATCAATTGATCTTGTTAATTAGTAGTAAGGAATTTGAATAAGCAGACGCTTGAACCAAACAGCTGGAAAAAATCTTGAACCTGAACCTTGAAGTTAAAACGTAAAACATTTATAAGTAGCTTAAAATTCGAACTGAAAAACAACAAAAGCAAAACGAAAACCATAAAATAACCCATCCCAACAAGCAATCCTTGGTCGGCTTCACTTTTGCAAATTGCTGCCATTGTTCCTTGTACTTGGCCTGAACTGACTCTGGCAAGACTGGAATCGTATCCTCAGTCTTCTTTGCTTTACGTACCTTACCTTTGGCAACAGGCTCCGGCTTGGCCTTTACCTTGGTGTGGCCTTTGGTGCAGTGGTGGATGGATGCCTTCCCATTGCACACGGTGGAAGGTCGATGAAGAAGAGATCCGTTCTAAGTCCATGATACAACAAAAGAGAAGTTATTGTTTAAAGTTTATATCACGACAGTGTGTCAAGTTGTCATGTTATCAAATTGTTTTGCCAATGTATGTGTGTCTGTGCATAGCGTGCATCATCCACCAAATAGCTTGAAGTGGTGAAAACCAAAAGAAGAGAACATAGTCAGAGTCAGTACAACAGTATATCAGTGTACAAAAACAACCAAGTCAAATAACCATCCTGCCGAGACAATACATTTGGAAATCCAACATACTGCACCCCGACACGTATTGTCATTTTCAACTTTCAGCTTTGCTCGACGTCTATGGCAATTTGCTCGCTTGATCATTGCTACTTGCTTCCATCCAACAGTACTACGAACAATCAACGCCTGTCTCGAGTGAATTTCTTCAGACCAAGGCGCTGATAAAAAAAGAGGAAAACAATCTAAAGTAAAGCAAAGGGACGAAGGCCCAACATTGGGGACAATCTTTATCCCAGACATCCCACAGCAATCCCAAAGGGCCAGGCTTCAACTTCAACATTGCTGAGCTAAGCTGTGCTTTGAATTTGGTTCCCTTTGCAGACATACGGAAAACTATCTCACAAACAAAAGTCAAAGTCATATACATATGATTAAACTTTCAGTTGATTGTGAGTGGCTAACTGGCTCGACCTCTGTTGGTTATGTGTGAACAGTCTGCAATCTGGGCTGTGCTGTTGTACTTGCAGACACACCGCTGATTCCATTACATAAAGCATACACATTTGAAAGCAACAAATTTGTTATGTTTTAAGTTTGAAAATTTGAAGATATAGAAAAGCCCACAAATGAGCGGTCTGCAGTCCTATTGATCCCTAATCTACTGATCTGACTTACCGTCCTTCTTGACGAAGCGCAAAGCTTTTGCTTGCAGCGCTCCCGGAACATTAAGATTAAGGTCAGAGCAACTCTTCATCGTCTCAGACAAGTTCTTCAGAAGCAGAGGAGGTATAGTGGTCTTCTCTTCAACCGCTTTGACAAAGCGCTTGGATCCCATTGTCTTTACCAACGCAATCACTGCCATAACGGACAAAGCCGTGTAGTGAATGGACGTAGCCTGCAGGCTGTTATAATATATATATATAATAGGCTGTTATAATATATATATAATAATTTATTTACATTTATTTATCTATATGTATATTTTTTATGTTGTTTCGATATTTGATATATCTATATGTGAACATGTGTTGGCTCTACTGACATATACTTTCACAAAACAATTGAAAATAGAAATCATGTGTTTTGACTATAGTGTCCTCGTGCAGACGTGCTTTTAAATCTTGACCGTCGAGATCAAGACCGGTCTTCTTTGCCTCCTGCCAGAATGATTGACACATGTGCACCTTAACATTGATCTGAATCTTAAGTTAACCTTTTCTTTCTGAGAATAACCGGAAACAAAACAGTACTTGTGGAATATTATCATAACTCATCACACCAATGTAGAATGTACGCTGTAGAACTGTAGATTGTAGAAAATGCACGGCAAACATTAGAAGACAAAGTCCCAGAAACACTCAAAAGCAAAACCCACAATTTGTCAACCGAAGCCTCAATATCATCCAACTGATCTTGTAGAGCACATGCCAACTTGGTCAAACATTCATGATCCACATTGGCAAGCTCCGGCGAATCTGAAATTGACGGCATCTTGGATTCGTCAGATGGGAGAACCACGTTGGAAGGGTCTGGAAGATTCATCGCATGTATTGGTGCCATAGCATCCCGAATGCCAGCATCCTGAAGGGAAATACTTAATATACAGAACAAGCAACCTAGGTATAAGTATAATATATAATGTATAGTTATGGTGTAACTATTCATATATATTTATAAATATATATAAATATGTATAATAATTTTCATATAGCTATATAATGTTTATGATATGTCTCAAAATGAAATGTTTTTTGTTCCAAAAGGATCTACACCTTAGCTAGAGACAATCCCATGAACTGTTCATTGTATAGTTTAAAAACACATATATTATATGTATGATATTATAGTTCAACTGCGTTCATACATTGTTGGTTGCTTTCAATGTGATAAATCTAAGAAATCAATGTGAACTTGGGTTAAACGGTCTGAGTCTAAACCTGGCCTGACCTAAACAAACATGAAGCTAGACAAACCTGTACCTAGCTGGACCTAGACCTCAGGGAATTTCAACGCTGACTGCCTTGTCGTCTACCCATGCAGCCAGCTTGGTGTCAGCCTCCACAATGAACTTTCCGATGATCTCTTCGACGTCTCCAATCTGTAGCTTTGCAGTCGTGATTTTTTCATCAGTCTGCATGTTGCACACATACTGAAGTAGATCTGCTTTACCACGGATCGCTACGAAGCTCGGCTTCGCAAAGACAAGGGCACAAACAGCAGAAGTTGCACTGGTAGACGACTTCTCGATAGCACCTATCACACAAGGAAGACAAAACATTAAGTCGTTCAGTATTAAGTCTTAAGGTGAGTTAAGTTGTTCAACTTCAACATTGACCACAACCATAGAGATATAATAAATCAATCTTAAGTGTACTGGCCGGATGATTTGAGCTGTCATCTGCCTGCAGCAGATGCCAATGATTTGCTGAATAGGCCAATGTCAAGCAACTTCTGGCGATCTGGAAGATCATCTGGCAATGCTGCAGCATGTAGTGTCAGATCTTCGACAAGTTTGGAGAAATCATCTGGAAAAGGCTTGTCATCCTTCACGAAGGCAGTCACCAATGAAACAAGCTTCACGCCAAACGCATTGGCCTTGCATGTAGTGGTCTTGTTCTTGACATCATTCAACGAATTGGTCAACTCCTTGAAGGTTTCGATGACATCGTTCCAATGAGACTCAGCATAGAGCAACGCAGTGGACGACATCGTTTCCTGCTTCACGGAATATAAGATATACTAATAATCTTGATATGATATATATATATATAATATATAATATATATATATATAATATATAATATATATTATATAATATATATAATATATATATAATATATAATATATAATATTTTTAAAACATCAAACAGTAACAATCACATAACTCAAACGTTGAAGTTGAAACAAACCTCTCCTGAAACTTCTTGGTGTTCAGAATGAACGTGTTGATTGTCATTCCGAAAGTAGTAGCATCATTCGATCCTGCCTTTGCGTTGATAGTCATCTTGGAAAGAGTTTCAAAGGTGTCGATCAAATTCTTGAAGGGGCGGACGACATCAATGGCGCCGATGGAACTCAGCACATTCCAAGTGACAGACGTAGGTGAAGTTAACACCTGGTCCTTTGCCAATACCTTCAAAGCACCAGCCATATATGGATGAGCCTGCCAATGACAAACATCCAAACATCAGGCAACTTATGTTGCTATTAGGAACTTATGTCAATTCAAAGTTTTTTAACGTTTTTTTTTATAAACAACTCACAATATAACCGGCTGACAACCGTTTGAAAACCCATACCTTTGTGATGGTCTCGTACAAAACAACCATCAGCGCAGATTCCTTCAACTGAGCAGATAGCTGATTCACAGCAGGCTTTCCCATCGACTTCGCTCGGAACTTGTCCTTTGTAATGTCGGCAAACAGCTTGTTGACATCCAAAATGTTTTTGCACCTTACATGTGGGTCTCTGCCCAAGCATAGTTGTGGTACGAGTTGAGTAGCATAGTTTTCTTCAAAAACAAAAACCCAAATCGAACAATATGAATGCATACTCTTGTCGTGTAAGATGTTTAAAAAACAATGCAATGCAAGCCAAGCAGCACTTCTTGGCAGTTGCCTTCGTTGATCTCACAGAAGTCATCTGGCAAAGATTTCACTGCATCAGTGAGTGCCTCTTGATCGCCCAATTCTGTTTCTC